CGGTTTGAGTCCAGTTACACCCGAAGGTGTACCCGAATCCCTCAAACCAAGGCTCTGATACCAACTTGTAACATCATAAAATTTGCCAACCAAAAATTTTCATTTTTACAACCATTAAGACATGAGTAATTAGTTTAGATTTCCAAAATAACGTCGTAGTCTCAAACGATTACATATCAAAAGATAAAATAGTTTCCCCGAGTGTGTGTACGATCACGCTGGCGCCTTCCCACGGTCCTCACTCGTACCTGAAACACATAAACAACAACTGTAAGCATAAAGCTTAGTGAGTTCCCAAAATACAACATATGCACATACGCCTTTCCAGGCCTTGACCTTCCGGTCCATGTGTTCAGGGGACTTCCGTCCCGACTGGGTAAACCTTCCGGTCCTACCCACATCAATCCTTACAGTCCATATGACCACGCCTTCCGGCCCATATCAAACATATCATACATGACACATATAGCAAATAACTTAACACACATAGAGCTATATTCCATATCATATTCGACCTTCCGGTCACATAGTCAAAACCCTTCCGGGTACAGTATAGTGAGAAGACTCACCTCGTATGCCTCGCTAAGTCGCTACCCGCAAATCCTGGAATCACTCGGGCTCGAACCCTCGAGCCGAAATCCTCCTACGATATATATATACATCTATAATTATTACTTGTACCACTAAGGTGGACCATTCAATCTCAAGTCAACACCGGTTGACCCGGTCAGCAGTCTTTAGTTAATTTGGACTAGACTCGGCGAGTGCACAATAGTGACTCGGCGAGTCTACGCGTTTTTACCAACTCTCAAGAATTTTCCCTTTGACTCGTCGAGTACTCCCCTGACTCGACGAGTTCCACCTGGGCCTGAATCGCAGGGTCACCGCGACTCAACTCGCCGAGTCTAAGGCCAACTCGGCGAGTCCCATCCTGACTCGGTCCACCTGCCAAAACCTTTCCAACTCTCTGCGACTCACTGAGTCGCTCACAACTCGGTCCAGTCTACACACAAGATGGTCTCAAGGACAATCTTCAAGTGACTCGTCGAGTCTGTTCTTCAGACTCGGCGAGTCCATGCCATGCACCAGCTAAAACTGGCTCTTGCGGTCAGATCCGTTCCATAGATACATAGATCTGGCCTTCCCAAGCTTATTTGTCACGTAAAGTCTCAGTCTTGGTTGCCATGCAATGCATACAAGGCTTATTTTGAAGAAACAACCTTCAATATGGCAAGTATAGCTTCTAACTCAAATGAATGGGCATAAAGCTTGTCATAAGGGGTCTCCTGGACCTGCTAAAGTCCAGATCTAGGTTCCATGTCTCCATGGGACCTCTCATACTTCTTATTCAAGCCAAGAAAGGCAAGAAGAAACCCTAGATTTGGCCCATCAACACAAAACACGAAGATTGGCTCAGAATGTTACCTCAAGAAGACCCCCTTGATGAAATAGCAACAGATCTAAGCTTCCCAGCACTTCAAGCTTGCTCCTCTCCCTCCTTTCCTTGCACTATCACACAAAATGAAGAACAAAAGGCCTTCAAACACACACACAAGGGCTCACAGACGTATGGAGGCTCTTAGGGTTCAAGGTGGCCGCATAAGAGGGCCATAAGGTCCTTTAAATAGAGCTCAGGGTCGGGGAATTAGGGTTTCATTAAACAGCACGGACTCGTCGAGTCCACCCCTTGGACTCGCCGAGTCCGGACGCGAACCCCCGCTAAAAACCGCAACCCGACTCAACGAGTTCAACCACTAACTCGCCGAGTCCCCTCACAGAATTCCAAAAATATAAGGAAATGGGGATACCTGGGGATCCGGGCTGTTACAGAGGTGTATAATAGAAACCACCATACCTTGAATAGACTAAAAAACAAAGAACCATAATGGAATTTTATGATCCCTAAGCTCAGTTGCTAACCTTGCAACACAATCACAAACTGATTTATCAATCCACCAAGAGAAAAAGCTACAACAAGTTCACCTTGGGGTTTTCTTTCTCCCATCCGCCTCTCCGCTACGATGATCGAGATCTCAAACATAGTAGTAAATGAAGTGGGGAAGGGATGTGGTGGCACAAATATGAAATTAGGGAACCATAAAAAGGGAGAGAAATGCAAAGAAACAAGAGAGAAATAAGGTTGAAGTGGGATCGATTTTTTTTCTTTTCTATGTGTAAAGTATTAAAAAACCAAAAAATTTCTTTAAATGTATTTTAGTCATTTTACATGCATTTAACCCTTATTTTCTAACAACGTTACCCATAAGGATCTTCAGTGCAATGTTTCATACTCTAAGGACCAATCATATTAAAGTTTATAAAAAAAGAGTAAATCACACGAACCGTCCCTCGTGCAAGTGAAAAAAACGTTTAGTCCATATTTTCAAAAATTAACTTGGACCGTCACTCGTTTGTTTAAAACTTTAATGGCCCGTCCTTAACATATATGAATGACCATTTTGCCCTTTTCTATTTCTTTTTCCATTTATTTTGTATTCATTTGTTATTTAATAATTAATTATTGATTTGTTTATTATTAAAAAAAATATTTATTGCCTTTAGAAAAAATGGGCATGATCCCCAAGGACAAGCAGTCAAGCACATTTGTAAGCCCCCCTTCTTCTTCAGTAAACATCCTATTCAACACCACCACCCACACTGACGACCTGCATCTCCCACGACTCCAGTACTCCCACGACTCCAAGAAATCTTCGACCACTCCAAGAAATCTCTAGCAACGCCATCAAACCCTCACTCACTCCTTTCTCTCTCTCTCTCTCTCTCTCTCTCTCTCTTTCTTTCTTTCTTTCTTTCTTTCTTTCTTTCTTTCTGTCTGTCTCTTTCTCTCTCCCCCCTCTCTCTCTCTCTCTCTCTCTCTCTCTCCCATCTTTAGCTCTAAGAAATCTGGTGCACCTGGACAAAAAGAAGAATATACCAGTATACTTGGATGTAAAAGACAATCGAAGAGGGGAATGAGATGGTAATAGAAGGGAATGGGTAGACCCCAAACCCTGAATCGTCTTCGCTATCTGAGGAGTCTAAATTGAAACACTAGATCGACGACACATCCCTTCATCTTTTCCAATATACATCTGGAATAGTTATAGTCACCAAAAACCCCTCTTGACTGTATCCATCTCTATGTAGAACTCTCCGAAAACCACCCTTCCCCAGCTGTGATGCCATTGATCCTGCAATGCCATTGATATAGACTTTCCTTATCTCCTTTTATGGTTGCAGCTCCATTGATGACTTAGATTCAAAGAACGATGACGACCCACATAATAGATCCTAATGAAGATTTTGATGACAACAAAGATGGATATTCAAGTGATTTCTTTATGGGTTTAGACAAAAGCGTGAAATGGTGGTAGGTGACGGCGACACACCGGCGGAAGTGAAGATGTTTCCGACGGTAATTCAGATATCTAGCGGTGGTGATGTCTATTTCCGGCGATGTCATAGAGAAAAGATAAGGAGATAAAGAGACAAAGAGATATTACGTTAACAGGGGGGACATATTTCTTTTTCATTTTTTTAAATTAATAATAATAATAATAATACATTAAATAAATTGAAAAAAATTACACAAAAGGCATTATTGTCATTTTGGATCTAGCATGGACTAAAATCGCAACAAAACCATATATTAGAGACGAAGCCTATAAGTTTTAAACAAATGAGAGAAGATCCGAGTTAATTTTTGAAAATAAAGACTGAACATGTTTTTTGATATCTAAACAAGGGATGATTCGTGCAAATTACTCAAAAAAAAAAAAAAAAAAAACTTGGGATGGTATTTTATAGGCCTGGCAATCGTGTCGTGTTCGGGTTGGCGTGTCGCGGGTTGGCGGGTTGACGGGTCAAAATTTACTAACCCAAACACGACCCATTTAAATATACAGGTCACGGGTTGACGGGTTTGGAACATAAACCCATATATGACCCGCCAACCCATTTATTTATACGAGTTCACGGGTTGGCGGGTTTGTGGGTTAGATTCCATAAATAAACTTGAAAATTAAACATGATTAAATTGTTGATGGTTGATGCAAACATATCCGAATTTTAGACACTTAAGTCTTAAATATCCAAATGAAAATTAAAAATATTCATAGAAACATGTTTAAACTAAATATTAATACAAACATAGATAATTCAAGTGGTGTATGAATCAATGGTATATATATATTATATAATACTTATTAAATATTAATACTTGATACATAAATACATTTAAAAATAAAATATAAATTTTTTTAGAAACCCATATATGACCCGTTTAATAAACAGATTGACGGGTTGGCGGGTTGACGGGTTAGCGGGTTGAAAAACTCAACCCAAACCCATTTATTTCGTGTCGTGTTGTGGGTCGTATCGAGAATTGCCAGCCCTAGTATTTTATACCAACCATAAGGACCATTTTTGTAATTTTGTCTTTATCTAATTTCGATTAAGCAACCCTTGGTAGAGATGTAGGATATAGAGTAAATTACACGAATGATCCCTATGGTTAGGGGTAATTTGCGCGTTTAGTCCCTAACTTATTTTTTTAATTCGGAAGGTCCTTACTGTTTGTTTTTGTTACGCGCTTGGTCCCTACTGTTTGTTTTTATTATGCGTTTGGTCCCTATTTTACCTAAAAATACTATAATTTAAATAGGAAAAAATTGTGGGGTGGATAAAGTAAGGTGAAGGGGATGGGTTTGGGGGTGTATTTAGTTAAATAAATTAAAAACTCAAGGGTAAAACAATCTTTTTAGGTAAGACGGGGACCAAGCGCGTAACAAAAACAAACAGTAAGGACCTTCCGAGTTAGAAAAATAAGTTAGGGACCAAACGCGTAAATTACCCTAAACCATAGGGACCATTTGTGTAATTTACTCTAGGATATATTATCGCAATCAAACTACGGTCTTGGCTGTATCTCTCCCCTGACCTTGGACCCTGCTTCACGAACGTCATCACAGAAGGATACACTTCGGAGATTGAACTAACTACACTTACACGAAAGGTAACCGATCATCACCATCTTCATCTTCCCTACTTTAACCTACAAGTTTTCTTTTCAATCATTCCACTTCCAAAACACGAACTAGGGTTTTAAAACCTCCACTCCAAGTTTCTCTATTCGAAAACCTATTCTTCTTATTGATCCTAAGTTTGCAGTTTTTTAATCAACATGCAAATAATAGGATTTAACGCCACTATGCTTAAATCGAAATACTCTCATTATAATATCGTTGATGTTCCTATTTTTATTACAAATCTGAAATCGGAAAGGTAGGGGTTTAGCTATAACCTCTTTCACGGTATTGGAAAACCTAACATTCACGTTAGCAGAGCTCGGTGGTGTTAGTCCGCCATATGCCTCTTTTTACAACTTCTATTTGTCGGTAATTGGTTTTGTAAACATCCATCTGATACTTAGCTATATTTGTGTTATATGCAGTTAATCAACAGTTGAACTTATGGATTCTTCAGATACAGAGCTTTTTCCTGCCATTCAGGTTTTGTGAAAGAAGATTCTATATTTCTTCAATTCGTAACCTGAGATTAGGGTTCTTACATACAACTTTTAGCAAGAAGATGTGTTTACTTCTGAATCTGTTTATCAAAAAATGAAGTGAATAATTTAGTCTTGAATTGATTATCTTGTGATTATAGAATGTTCATTATCTGTAAAATTCCAGGAGGTTTTGCTGGAGTTTCGTGCTGGTAAAATGCATATGGAAGGAACACGTGTTGTTGCTGATCCACGTAAAGGACTTGTTCGAATTGGAAGAGTATGAATTAAATACAAGCTTTTATTTCTATGCAACTTATTTTAGGGCTAAATGGAAGAAATTTCAACATTTTCTATCTATTGATTATTGCATACTTTACTTCTTATGTTGAGTTTCTGTCTTTTTACAGGGAGAAGAAGGATTAGTTCATATTCAGTGGCTTGATCGAACTAATAACACCATTGAAGATGTATCCTGATTTAATTTTATATATAACATATCATTATATTTTGCACAACATTTGGATAGAACTATGCTTACATTGGCTGAGTGTCAAAAAGAAAAAAAAAAAAAACTGAAACCATTTTGAAAAACCAAATGGTTTGGTTTTTGGTATTTTAGAAGTTGTATTTGTTCAAAGTTTCACAATTTTGGTAGATTCTAGAAGATTCTGATTTTCTTTAACACAAATAAACATAGGATCAAATTGTTTTCCCTGAAGAGGCAGTTTTTGAGAAGGTTGGCCAAGCTTCCGGAAGGGTCTACATATTAAAGTTTCAGACAGATGATCGCAAGTGTTTTTTCTGGATGCAGGTTAGCAAATGATGATGTTATATTAAAAAAGTTAAATAATTATTGAAGGTATTAATCAGATCTTTATAATGATGTAATTCGTTAAAAATAATTATATATATTTATTTTTTTCAGGAGCCCAGAGCTGATGATGATGAAGAGCTGTGTAAATCAGTCAACCTATACCTCAATCAACCAATAGGTAGTATTTATGCTTCAATCATTTACTTAGAGAATATTATTAGTAGTTCTGAATTATTTACAAATATGATGCAAACTTTTATAAAATTCTCTTTAACAACATTTTCGATATGTGAAAACTTTTATGTGGCAGATTTCCCTACTGAAGAAGAAGAAAACACTCTTGGTGAAGATATCTCATCAAGGTATGTTGATATAAATGAAAAGTTAATTTTTATCTTTTTACTTATTTATATATATCAATGATATTAAGATTTGTAGTATCTAACTTGATGTAGAAGAATATCTTAATATAAAAAGTCAAGGAAACGCGGCTTTTCCCAAAAAGTCCAAAATTTTCACAAATTCCCCTCATTTATTTTTACCTTACAAATCCCCAAGTTCGAGTATTTTTCAAACATCATTTTGTGATTGCCTAAAATACCCCTGTTGACTAAGAGGCTGTTTCTTTATGACTTGATCCAGTTTTAATCGGTTAAGCCAAAAAATATGGCTTAATGTATTAAGACACCAACTTTTTACCTATTTGCCCTTCTTTTTTTTTTCTTCCTAACTTCTCTCATGTTTAAATTGATGCTTATTATGAAATTTGTTTATGAGGGTAAAATGGTCATTTTGTCTCATTCAGATGGTTTATTCAGGCTAGAAAAGAATCAGAACTTAGTATAAAATGTCAACTTTTTACCTAATTACCCTTCAATTTTCGTTCCTAACTTTTTACCTAATTACCCTTGTCTGTATACAGGGCTGGAGATTTAGTTGGACCAAGTACAGGTGCAGAATTAATTAGTGACGTGTCCTCTTCAGGACCTGTTAAATTGTCAGATCTTCAAAGAATATTAAGTAATATTGGACCTTCAGGCATGTCATAAATTTTTTTTTCCTACTTTTTTACTTTTTTTTTTATTTTTTCAAAATTTTATAGTTTTTAACAAATTTGTTACCATGATAATGTGCAGGTGAGGCAGCAGATCCTGATGGAGGTAATAATTTTGAGCATTTTTTTATTTTTTTTTATCATTAAATGAAGGGGACAAAAACTAGGTCTTTATTTGTCATTTGTACAAAAGACGTAAATGCCCTTCTCATTTTCATCAACAAAAAAGTAAGATATGAGGGCAGGATGGGTGAAGGTTTTTAAAGCTATTTTTATGATGAGGGCATTTACGGCTTTTACACAGAGTGAGTCCCTGTCCCATCTTTTTGGGTGGGACAAAAAATTGAAAATCATGTTCTATTGATTTATTATTATTATTTTTTTATTTTTTATGATTTTGATAGTTTGCCCTTGATAGAAATGCAGTGTTTTTGACTTACATATAGCTGTATAAATATCTAAATTGCCCCTAATTTAATACCAAATAATATCAAGTAATGATTACTAAAACCTCCGAAAAGCAAAAGGTTGCAATTATTTCAGGATAATTGGAGTATGAGTTTTTATTTATTTTAATCACAGTGATTTAAATTTAATTTTGAATTTTTGTTTATATAGGTTTAGGATTGGGTGATATCTTGAAGCCTGAACTTATATTGCCATTGATGGAGAATTTATCATTGGAACAAGTGGCATCCCATTTGCCTGAGGTAAGATGAAGTCCCTGTATAAGTATTTTCTATTTTAATTTTTTTTTTTTAAAAGTAAAAAACACTAAAAAATAATATTATCTTGACGACAGGGGCAATGGAGTCCAGAAGAATTAATGGAGCTGCTACAAAGCCCTCCTTTCCGCCAACAAGTAGATTCTTTCACTTATGTGAGCATCTCTTCCTTTTTCTACTTCTTTTATTGAAGGGTAGTTTTGTCATTTGCCACTTATATGCACATTTCAAATCCTTCCACGAATGTGGTGTATGCAGGTGCTCAAGACTGGTCAAATAGATTTGACTCAATTTGGAGTTGACCCGAGTAAATGTAACCACTTTACAACCTTTTGTTACAAATTGTAAATTACTAAATGATTGTATAAAATTGTTTTATGATAATATGATTAATAATTCTAAACATTTGTTTTTACAGATAAGTTCACAGTGCTGTCTTTTCTTGAGGCCCTTGAAGATTCTGTTGCTAAAACATCTAATTCCGATGAGCCAATGCAAGATGCTGAGGAATCTTGATCAAGTAGCTGCTAGACTCATTTGCATAACAGATATTGATTCAAAAGATTACAGATTTGTGTTTGTGGATATTGCAAGTGTTTTGTATTTTGAATTTATAGACATCTCGTGTACACAAAAATTAGTACAAGTTTTTAAGTTACTTCGTTTTTAAGTGTTTTGTGTGCCAGAATGCACAGATTTGGACCATCGGATGAATAAAATCAATGATTATGATTTGAGGGTCTATGATATTACAATAGAGTAGTATGTACCATATAATCACACAAATTTCAGAAAAAGAGTATTTTGGTGAATTAACCTATTTTAAAAAAGGTAATTTTCGGATTTTAAGGGATCATTAACACTTCTAATTTTAAAATCTGAATTTTTTAAATTAATTTTAATTAATTCTAAACATAATTTGTAAACATAACCGATTTTATTCCGTTAGAATGAATTTTTGTTTGAATGATGTTCTTTCAGAGTTTAATTCTAGTAGAATATTAACGAAGAATAACAGAATTCTTGAACTCCTAGTTGAAGAATAACAACATTTTAATATTTTCATATACATTCGAACTTAAATACAAATTCATACATATTCTTACATACTAATAGCCTTCTACATTGTAATACATTTATACATATTCTAAAAGAATATCATAAAAAATCAGCATTCTTGAATATACAGTTAATGAATAAATACAAGTGTAATTCTTAAAAAATAAGAACATTCTTAAACTGTGAGTGTCATCAATCTTTGGCTCATTCTTCAAGTCATTCTTATCAGGTCTTCAAGCCATTCTTCCGACCATTCCTATCACAAATGCAACAAAAACTAATAATGGTTAAAAACATGTTGCTTGCAATTCCTATTAATTTATACATTCTGGGAGAATACATATAATTCATTCCGGTAGAATATACAGAACATAATCTTGCATAATACACAGAATACAATCTCGCAGAATACATAGAATAAAATCTGCTAGTTATAACTTTACATGCCACTATAAAGAATTAAAAGCATGCGATTTTCCATTTGCAATCGTATTTCTCTATATATAAACATTCTAAAGCATAGAATTTATAAATGCATTCTGTCAGAATTACTATAATGTTACTTGTAATTCCTAGCATTTTATATATTCTGGAAGAATACATAAAATATGATAGAATACATAGAATATATACTGATAGATTACATAAAATTTGCTACTAAATCAAGATTATAAAATTATGAACAGTGGAACATGTTAAGTTTAATAATTTTCAAATATTAGAAGGTTAGATTTTGATATTTTCCATATATTGCTTATTTAATCAGGTGATTACAAATGCTTTTGAGAAGAGTTTTCTCATTCATACAATGTTTAAGTTCTAAAATGTCTCAAATTTGTGAAAATCTCTTATAAACCCTTAATCAAATCTTCACCCTAAATTGATTGAAAAAATCAAATACCAATAGCAAAGATTGATGTTACTCAGGTAATTAACAAATAAGGAGTTAATAAAACAACAAAAAAACATATCCAAAGGTTTAATGAAGGAAATAAAAGAAATACTCTTTGAGGCATTTCTACAAACACCTGACGTGCAACATAGAAATCAAAATTTCTTTCAGGCCATTTCTACAACAAAGCTGCCAAATTCTCTTTGAGGCATTTCTACAAACATCCATCGATTCTTAATCAAACGAACACCTATGTAATTCTGCCAAATCAAACAAGAACAAAAAGAAAAGAAGGAGTCTTTACCTATTGATTGAATCATTGTTGAACAGCTTCCTCCATCACCGATTCCACCCACCTGCCGATTGCCACCACCCCATACGACTTACTGTTGCCTTACAACTCCCAATTTGCAACCACCTTTGTGTTTCAAGACAATCGGACCAGAAGAAGAATGGAGCCGAGGGGAGCAGCCCTGCGCTGCCGGCCTCCCTCCATCGCCTATGCTAGCGATCCACCAGCACCACCGAACCCTCACTTCTAGCCTCTTTCCGATCATAATAGGCCGACGAACATGCAACTGTGAAAGAATCAATTTCTGGTGGAAAGGAGGAATCGAGGTATCGATGATTTCTGGTGGAAAGGAGCAACTGAGATATTGATGATTTAAGGAAGCCGCCGTACTCTTTAAGGTTAGGGATGTGGGCTTTGTAGGGTTAAACTAATTAAGGAGATATTCATTGAATTATTTTTTTTACCATAATTAGATATAGGAAGTTTACCATTATACCCTTTTTTAATTTCTTTAATGATTTATTATTCTTGAATTCTCATTGGTGCATTTAGTCACACACTATTTGCTAAAAACATTTGAACCTAACTATATATATATATATATATATATATATATATAGGTAAAGGTTCAAATGAGAACAAAAAAATAATAAGAACTCTAAGAACCTCTAATTTTAGCTTATAAAGGGCATTTTTGTCACAAACACATTATTTCATCTAAAATTTAAAATACGAGATCAAAACATCAGATATGGAAAAGCTCATTCTCCCTCTCTCTCACCAAACATCTCTTCCTCTCCCTTCTACCTCCGGTGACTTTCCACCACCACCTGCTACATTCGGTGCCGCCACTAACCACTGCCACCACCTACTTTCGGCGGAAGAAACATCTACCACAACAACCCAACCACTCTTATGACGTTGCTCCCGTTACATATCTCCATCCGCCTTTTTTTTTCTCAATCTCCTTGAAACACCACCAAAATTGTTTAGATCTGGTGCACCACCACCTCCACCTACCATTGATACGTGTTTTAGACCTCCAAAAGCTTTCGTTTTCATCAGATTTGTGTTGATTCTTTATAGATCTATGATCTTTGATGACATATCTCTGATTTTCGCTTAGAAATCTATGATTTACACCTCCGATCTGTTATGTGTCGCCTCCTTCCCCTCTATTACTCGTTTTTATCTCTCTCTCTCTCTCTCTCTCGGTCAAAACACCACCAAATCGATATCTAATATGATGTTTTTGTCCATTTTCAGGTTAGATCTGGTGTGTGTATGGTGTTTACATTGATTGTGTTTACAAAAGGAAGTTTAGATAAAAAGATGCACACAAGGTGTTTGATGACATGCCTCAATGAAATTTGATAAGTTATTAAGCTGTGAATTAAGTTGTGAATGCATATTTTTTGTATATTAAACTATGAAGTTTGTGTATTTAGCTGTGATATTTGTGTTTAAAATTGCGAATTGAATGCATTAAGCTATGAATTTGTTGTTTAAATTGTAAATTGACTCTATTAAGTTGTGAGTTTTGTATATTTAATTATGAATTAATTGTATTAAACTGTGAATTGATTGTATTAAATTTTTTAGTTGAAAATATGCTTTTGAATGTATATATTTTTTGGGTATTAAACAGTAAATTTTCTGTGTTTAACTATGAATTAAAAGTTTTAAGTTGATATTATGTTTTTCTACTTGCATTTGTTGTAGATCTCTATTATATTTTGTTTTTTTTTTTTGTTTTTTTTTTGTTTTTGTTTTTGTTTTTTTTTTTTTTTTTTCCTGTTAATGTGTGAATTTGATATTTTAATCTCTCATTTGTCATATAATTTTGTTAATCTTAGTTTTAACTGCTATTAACTTGTGAATGTATAATTTTTTTGAATTAAACTTTAAATTTATTATACTAGTTTGTGAATTTTATATATTAAATTGTGTATTAATTGTAATAAGTGTTTTAAGTTGATAATATGGATGTGAATACTACTTTTTTTTTTGTATTAAAATGTGAATTTAGTCTACTAAGCTGTCATTTTTGTGTTTTAAACTGTGAATTGATTACACTAAGCTTTGAATTTTCTTTTTAAACTACGAATTGACTGTATTAAGCTGTGAATTTTCTGTTTGAACTGTAAATTAACTAGATTAAGTTGTGAATTATGTGTATGAAACTATGAAGTTACTTGTATTAAGCTATGAATTTTGTGTATAAACTTTGTATTGACTATATAAAGAGTGTTAAGCTGAAAATATGGTTATGGATGCATGCTTTTTGTGTATTAAACTTTGAACTTTGTGTATTAAACTCTGCTTTTGTGTTTTAAACTGTGAATTGACTGCATTAAACTGTATATTTTCTTCCTAGACTATGAATTGACTATATTAAGCTGTAAATTTTGTGTATTAAATTATGAGTTGATTGTATAAAGCTGTGAATGAACTGACATTAAGCTGTGGTTATTTTATAATTTTTTTGTTTGTTTTTGAAATAATGTAAATTTTATTCACGACTTAATATATTAAACTCACAATTTAAAATATGAATGATTTATGTATAAATTTTTTTGTTAATTTTTTTCTGAATATATTTATTTGTTGTGTTGTATATGTATATAAGAATACATTAGTTTTAATAATAATTTGTCATTAAATTCAAAATGAGTGAAATAAATGGTTTTATTAGACTGTGAATGCAGTATTTATGTTATTAATGCATGACTTTGTTTACAGATCTAATTTAGAAGAAAATAATGGTTGAGATGCTGGTATAGGTGGTTGGTGGTAGTAGTAGGGTTTGAAATTTTGATTTCTTTAAGTTTGTGAATTAGTATAAAATTGTTTGTATTAAATTGTGAATTTTGTGAATTAAATTACGAATGGACTGTATAAACTTGTAATTTATATAAGTTTTGTGTTCAAATATGAGAGCATATAAGAATGAAAATATTATACTGCAAAAATTACAATTTTGTCCTTTTTGTATCGAAAAGAGAGAAAAAAAAAGGATTTTCACATGTTTAACAAGAATATCATGTAAATATTTATTAACTAATGGGGTTCTTAGGTTCTTAATCTTTTATGGTTCTCATTTGAACCACTCCCTATATATATATATATATATATATATATATATATATATATATATATATATATATATATATATATATATATATATATATATATATATATATAGGTTCAGGTTCATTTGAGACCATTCTAATTTTGTAAGACCGTGAGACCAAATCTAAAAATAATTTTAAAATGCAAAATAAATGGAAAAATCAAAAAATTCTTTTTTTTAAATATTATTTTCGAAACTTGAATTAATTAAAAAAAATAAAAAAAAATCTTGTTTTTTTGAAAAATACGTGAAATATTCTAATAGAATATTACACTGTACATATTCTAAAAAATAATTTTAAAATGCAAAATAAATGGAAAAATCTAAAAATTCTTTTTTTAAATATTATTTTCGGAACTTGAATTAAC